CTTCTGCTTTGACACTCGTCTTGCTGTGCTTCAGAGACCAAGTTGTGTGCATCATTGCAGTGGAACATTGCAGCCACTCAGCACTTCATCTATGAATACTGCAATTCCTCCTCATGCTGGCCAAATGTACTCCATATATGCAGGGCCCCTACAAGGCAGTTTGTCATACGACGCAATGCCTCGTGATCCTGTATCGATACCTGCAGGTCTGATGTGGTCATCTCTCAGATGCGACAACAGGCTCCCCCAATGGAGAATTTGTATGTGCGTGCTTATACACCATGATCTTCGTCAGCATACAACTTGCAGATATGCCTTGGCAAGACGCTGGAGGTTTCGGTATCGGCCTGCGCCTTATCGAAGACATGTTCGTCGGAAACCCAGGCCACGATGGGGATTCCACCATGTCAGTTGCAGTCCAATCTTGTGGGGACTTTTGAGTATCTCTTTTCGGTGTTTACACAGACAATTTGCACTCTTTGAACCAGCCACGGTCCCAAGTCCGTGGAATATTGGTGATGCACATTGTGCAAACATGACACAATTCTGCAGTTGCGATAAACTTTCGTCATCACTACACCAATATTTGAGCCGAGGGTTGGGGTGGGATCCGGAACCATCCCTGAAGCGAAACTTGTACAGTATGTGTGCTTCAGAAACGCAAACCTTTCTGGAAAACGGTGGGTCAACGGGCCTTTCCTCGAACTTTTTGCCTACCATGGACTCGCTTTTCCGACCTGGTATATCTCCTGGTGCTTGGGAGCTACTGTGGAGTTGCTTTGTCACATTACTCTTGCTGATATTTGGTTACTTTATAACACATTCCTCTGGTATGCATTTTTCAAGTCTATTCTGCTGCTCGGACAGACAACAACGAACTTGTTCCAGGTCTCGCCATGGACAATCTTTGATGGGTATCACCAATCATAAATGGTGGATTCTTTGCGTATGCTTGAGTCTTCAGTTCTTTGGAGCATCAGCTTTAGGTCAATCGACATTGGCAGTCCCAAGCCCTGTGCATCATCGAGCAGAACCTGTTCTGTCTACAGTACGAAAACGATCATACAAGCGTGCTTGTGTGAGGGCTGAAAATCAGGGTGCAACGTGGTACAGGGGTCGATTTCTCACTTCCATGCAGCTTCGTGGTCGTTCTCGTCGCACTATGACATCAGAAGGACAGCCAAACATTGCACAGAAGGTAAATCATGCTCCGATTGTTTCCAGTGCAGGTCGGTACAAAATTCTGACCTGGAACTGCTCTGGTCTTCAGGCACAATATGATCAGCTTGTACAATGGTTGTCATGCCATCACTACGACATCGTTGTGGTGCAAGAGACATTTTGGAAGTTTTCTAGCCAATGGGAGGACTCTCGATATCTGTATGTACACAGTGGCTTCCAGAAAATTGGCAGAGGCGAAGGCGGTGTGCTCGTCATTATCTCTCGCAAGCTAACTGATCCCACTCACGTGAGATATCATGAGGTTGTACCGGGTCGACTACTGCGTGTCCACTTTCCACTCTCAGGCAACCCAGATCAGACTGTGGACATTTTGGGTCTTTACCAATATGCTTGGACCGGCAAAGCCAATTTGCAGTCTCGACATGATCTTTGGATGAAATTATCACAAACCCTACATCAAACTTCGGCACGCAGCTTGTTGCTGGTTATGGGTGACTTTAATTTGACATGCAAGGGTCCGAGCAAACATGTAGGCTCGGACACACCGAAGAAGCCTCATTTGGCTACTGACTGGGATGAGCTTGAGTCGATCCTAATTGCACATCATCTTGTCGCCATTAATACATTTGGCACAGCTCCAGGGTACACGTTCAAATTCAATACAGTGCAATCCCAACTGGATTATATTCTCATGAGACTGTCTCAAGCCGATAAGGTATCTCGCCAGGCTCGGCCACTTCTTAACTTTCCTTTGGGTGCACACAATGAGGAGACCTCAGCCAAACACCTTCCAGTCAGTGCGACCATCGATCGCAAATGGCTTCGTCATATGTCTTTTGCCAAGAAACAACCTGGAATTGATGTGGCACAGTTGGCGCAGGCTGTACAATCACTTGACTCCCCCTCAGTACAATCTTTGCGACGACGTGTTCAACAATGGGTTGATAAAGTAGATTTGGAAACGATACCCATCGACACCTTTCATCAGGAACTTGATGTTGCAATGCAAGAGGCAACACAAGCGCTCTTCTCGAAACAGCCGATTTCTTCTACAAAGCCCTGGCAGGATGAGGTATCTCGTGCAAAAACCATGTGGACTCTGTTCCGCAAAATGAGACAGCAACCTTTCACAGCCAAAGGGATATTTGTTGCATGGAGATGCTGGGCAAAATTTACAGAGAAGCATCGGGAACACAAACAACGAAGTCGACAACTGCGAATATGCAAACATAGAGCTATTCTCAGAGAAGCACAAATGGCTGCATCCAGGCACGATACTTGGGAGCTCTATCGCATAGTTCGCAGACTCGCTCCGAAACAGTCATCCACGAAATTTCAAATCCATGATAAGGGTCGTCTACTTCAACCGCAAGAAGAACTGGCTTTGTTCTCTAAACATTACACAGACCTTTACAAGGATGAGCAGGCCTGTATATCACAATCGCGAGTACTGTCGGGATCCTTCTCTCTTTCAGTTCCACAGATGACATTCTATCTTCAGCATATTCCTCTTCGCAAGGCAGTCTCTGCTAAATCTGCTCCAGGTGCTTCGTACAGAGCCTGTGCTGACATTCTGGCACCTGCTATGGTACAGGTACTTTGCAGAGCATGGACCCCATATGAGATTGCAATTCCGCAAAGATGGTCGGATGCCCAGCTTATTCTCTTGTGCAAGCCCAACAAACCCAAACTTGAGCTCAAATCGTGGCGTCCAATAGGCTTGCAATGCCCGGTTGCAAAAGCGACCATGCATATCCTGGTAGATCGAGTCAAGCCTTTAATTTCCAGAATGGGCAGCGCCATTACCGTTGTTCGCTTACCTATCGGCCAGAAATACAAGTAATGCTCTGCGACGTGTCTTTCACCACTGCAGTCAAGTACGTCAACGATGCCTCGATCATGGAGACAATCTTCATCATCGCTTCGCTGGCAAGAGACCCCAGAATCTTCTCGGCGGTTTGCAGGCGAGTCTTGATTTATCCTCGGCATTCGATAAAGTCCCTTGGAAGTATATTGAACTTGCTCTACGTGAGGCAAAAGTACCGCCTGATCTTATTCACATTATAATGGCTTGGCTGGAAAAATCTACCTACACGGTTCAGATTGCTGGTCAGGGGACGGTTATCAATGTCGAACGGGGCGTCAAACAAGGCTGTCGGGCTTCACCTATCTTGTTTCTTGCTTACATGGCCTTAATCTGCCATCGGCTGGAAGGCAAATTAGGGGTGGGGTGGTGCAAACAGCATCTGAGCATCTTCGCCGACGACACGCGTGGAGCCTGGGACATATATGAGCCAGCTGACCTTGATAGAGCCATCAGTCAACTTGCAACTGTAATTGGTACTTTTGAGGAAATGGGTATGGAGATGAATGATTCCAAGGCCAGAACCTTGCTTCGCCTACAAGGCCTTACTCGTAAGAAAGCACGATCACGTTGCACGAAGATGATACGAGATCAGCGTCATCTTTGTCTTGAGGTTCAAGGACAGCTCCGACACATTCCGTTGGTCAGACAGGCGCAATATCTAGGAGCAATCATCTCTTACGATAACTACGAGAAGTTGACTGTTGAGTTTCGCATACATCAGGCACAAGTCAGATTCTGGCAATTACAAAAATTGCTCTGTGGAAAACATGGACTATCGGAGAAACACCGGTTACAGATGTGGAGGGTAACGATTTTCCCGTGTCTCTTATATGCCATCGACTCGATAAAATTGACGTCGGCTCTTCTTCAACCGCTTCACACGTTTGCCATGAAGAATATTCGTGCCATCACACGTCAGCCGGTCCACCTTTCGAGAATCTCTGACGACGATTTGTTGAACAATCTCAGACTCCCTTCCGTGGTTGACACTCTGCAAGCCACTTGTAAACGAAATATTGCCACGGAGAGCCAAGCGCAATTTTATACATCTCTCACATGGCTGAAAGACTGCCAACAAGCTCTATTTGAGATCCGAACAGGACTCACTGTGCTTCCTCGTCACATTGTGCCGCATGCTTGCCCAATATGTGGTGTTTACTTTGACAACCGGCGTGCAGTGAAGACACATATTATCAAGAAGCACACTTGGCATCAGCGAATATTCAGTCAGAACAGCCACCTGATGAGCAGACATGCGCAGTGGTAGCGTCTTCCTTTGCTTCTTTAAGTCAAGTGGAAACATTGACAGAGATTGTTCCAACAGGTCTTTCTACGACAATGGCTGAGAATGAATCCAGCTCAGTTGTTGTCTCTCAGGCCAATATCTCTTTTGACAAAGCCATCCACTCCAAGAATGGATTGCCGACATGTGCAGCCTGCGATCTTGTGTTCACTCGATGGAGTGGACTTGTAAAGCATGTGACTCGCGGGTACTGCACAGTACTGTCACCTTTGACAGGTCCTGCTGATATCACTGTTCATCAACTTCGTGCATCTCATGCAAGTGTGGCAATCTGTGAACGTCCTGAAGTAAGACGCCTATTAACTAATGGAGTGCAGGCTTTGCTGCAACAACAAGCTCTTCTCACCGAGATGCGACAGCATTGCGTATTGTGTCGACAGTGGATTGCAGACACGAAAGTGATGAAGAATCATTACAACAATTCCCACAAGTCATTCATGAGAGAGTACAAACTGACATGCTTGCAGTACATGCGATCTCATGGGGTGACTTCTCAGCCTTGTACATTCTGTGGTTCGCTCTTGTCTAACAAGGCCGAAGCTGCCAAGCATCAGCTCAAGTGCACAGTGTTGTGGCAAATCAGTGTCCTCCTTGCTTGGTTACAAGGCCATACCGATAGAGCAAGTACCGACATCCGCACTTCATCAGATGGAGGAGTTCTTTGGCGAAGTCAGCATGACTGCCAGCAAACGACCAATGGAGGACGACTTCTCCAATCGAACCAAGCATCGACGTCCGGGACACAAAGGAGGCAAGGGTGCAGGCTCAAGCAACGGTTCAAAGGGCCACCACAAGGATACTACAAACTCCTCGCTGATGGAGACAGAAGACATGGAGGAGGCCTTTCGTCTGGCCTGTCGTCTTCTCTTGCAAAACACGGACTCCATACATGTCCTTCGTCAGGACACGGCAATAGTCTGGTTTGCTCGAACATCCCAGCCGACGGTGGTTCCAACGCTGTTCGCAGCTGCCACGAAGTGGAAAGACGATGCCAACCGAGAGCAACCGAGTGCGGTAGGCCGACTTCCGCTCAGGGAAGTTCTCTTCATGACGATGATACACACCTTGCTCAAGGAGCTCAGGGAGGTCGAAAAGGACGAGGAGCTTCGCGCAAAGTACCAGTTCTCGGGTTGGTTGGACAAGGAGTGCCGTTGGGTGTTTCAGAAGTGGGATCCGGATACCCGCACCCTACTCGTCGACACAAACCGTCGGTCAATCCCAATTCCCGACATGATTCAGAATGTGCAGGCCATCTTGGACCTCATCACTCAACACCATGTCCTGCATCGGTTCCACAGCACAAGGCGTTTGTCCCAGGACCTACAGGGAATTGCAGTTCTCCTCATGGATGTATCCGTGAGAGAGACCCAAGGAACTCGCTTGTTCCAGCAACTCTTGAATCTTCAGAACAATGCAGTGTGGCAACTCATTGGGCTTCAGTACAAGCGCGAGGGTCTTCGTCGGTCGCCGCTGGCAGTGAAGCTCCAGGAGTGGGCATACGGATCCGCTCAGTGAATCCGAGGTCTTCATCTCAGCACATGCTTCAGGATTTGCTTACACAAGCAATTTTGGCCAATACTGGAACATATTGCTATCTGAACTCCTGGATAAGATCTCTAGCTTGGGCCTCTGTCTGCTCGGAAATACGCTTGCATTGTCACACACATTTGGTGCAATTGCTCTTGGATCTTCTTTCAGGTGCTGAGCAACTGGATGGGGCTCAGGATTTGCCGTCATCAAGTGTGATGGAAATCTGTGCTGCGAGGCTGGCAACACAACAATCGACAGCATGATGTTTGTGAGTTTGCGCACCATGTTATCAACACGACAGGCATTGGGGATCTCTTTGGGATATGGCAAGCAAGGCAGCTCAGAGATGGGCTTGTTCATATCGCTGATACTGGGTATTGCTACACACCGGATGCCAGGTCTTGCTCTATACATGTGATGCTGAACAGATGGCAGGCAGATCCTACTTCGGGTGCATTTCGTGGCTTTCTTGTGCTACCTACAATGCTCATGGTGCAGGTGGGCAGATTTCGTCAGCCTCAAACGATCAAGCGAGTGACGCCTGAGAATCGCATCCGTAAGCTCTTTACTGTCATCAAGTATTTGCAAGATGAGATACAACTTCCTGTCTTTGTCGATGACACTTCACTGAGCTTGCGATATGTGAGTTACAGGCTGGTAGCAGGGATCGTTCATCATGGATCTCTGCCACAGAATGGACACTACACCTGCATTCTGAAAAGTTCTGACCATGTCAACATGTATCACTGCGATGACCATGCTGTTCCTCAACCAATTTCCGATTTCGATGATATTGCTTGCAAGAACTTGTATGCTTTGATTCACATATCAGCAGAGTGATGTGATGGGAAGGGCATTTCCATTTCGCTGCCGACTCAATGTCGTATGTTCCATAGTGTTTCAAGATGGCTTTGAAGCTGTCGGGGGGGGATTCAAGAGATTACTGCAAATTCAGTGTCTCTCACATGCATTACCGGCCATTCGTGGTGTCTTGTATGTGCCAATTCGTGCAGCAGTGTGGTAGGTTCTAAGTTCTTGTGATGTTGTACTTTCAACATGTGCTCCTGAAGCACCGGGCCCTCTGGGCTTGCACGTGTTACCGTCGCAGGGCGAACTAGCTGTTCTGTTCTCACACCGAGATGTTCAGATTTCGCTGCGTGCAAAGTGCAAAGTGGCAAGAAAGGGTTTAGGTTTTTTTGTTCAAGGTTCCCTTATAATGTAACCAGCCCCCATAGGGTGCCCTTATTCTAATGTGGTTCCTGGGCTGGGTTTCGAGTTGGCTTTAAGGAATATGGAGAGTTCTCTGACTTCGGCTCCCTTTTTGGGGATCCCTTTTTTGAAGGGTGCCGCCTTAACAAGGGGTACCCCAAAAGGGACCCTAATATAGGAAGATACCCATATACCCGGGTTAGGGCTTTAAGGTCTACTTGGTGGCTCACGTGCAGTTATAAGTAGGGTTAGAAGTACTCCAACAAGTACAGTTACCCTACTTTTAACCCTACTTATGATTCCCCCTAAACCCTAAACCCTAAACCATGGTAACCTCCAGGTATGGGTAGTTCTCGAAATTCGGGTCCTTTTTTGGGGGGTCCTCATGTCTTAAGGGCGCCATACATAGTCATGTATACAGGACCCCAAAAAGGGACTTAATTTAGGGTTTAGGGTTTAGGGTTTAGGGTATGTTGGGGCCCTTCACCTCTCGCAGAGCGTAGCGCGGCGTCTAAAGCGGCCGCTGTTCCCAGTGTTGTTGGGTTTAGGATTTAGGATTTAGGGTTTAGGGTTTCGGGTTCTCAACAAGGGTTTAGGGTTTAGGGGTTGAGGGTTTAGGGGTTTAGGGTTGAGGGCTTGGTGTCGAAAGCTCACGGTCGCCCAGCGACTCCAATGCCTCGACGAGGGACCCGCCCTTAAAGTTGCAATGGAGGCCTTACTGTGATTTAAGGAGCTCTAAGGGATATTGGAGTCTCTAGAACATTTTGAATGAAGGCCTAAAACCCCAAACACTAAAGAATCCATTCCTGAATGCAGGGTTTTGGGATTTTTAAAAAGTCGGAGCATGACCTTTGGGGCGGTGTTGCGGAATCGGTTTAGGGCTCATAGTGTTCAAAATGGATTAGGGTGTTTAGTGTTTAGGGTTTAGGGTTTAGGGGTGCGATGTGTTGAGGATCATGGTCTTCGGCACGCCAGTTCTCATGATGTGCCTGGCAAGACCGTTCCCGCAGGAGGCGGGCTCCGGCTGTCCCCTCAACCCTAAAGCCTAAACCCTAAACCCTAAACAGCCTTAGTTATCCCTAAATAGCCTTAATAGCCTTAATTATGGGGGGAACCTTGGGAGGTAGTGTCCCCAAACCCTGAACCCGAAACCCTACACTCTTGTTCAGGGACTTTGGGTACCTCGGAAGCATGGGAGCTTGGTGCAAGCATGGGTTGAGCTGCAACCTTACTTGGAGGTTCATCTACGAATTGCTGAAGAGCCCCCCCCCCCCCCCAAAAAAAAAAAAAAAAAGCCCCATACTACCCTCACAGGGAAGAATGTTGTTTATTTTGTTTTTTTTGAGGGGGTTCATAGGTAAATAGTCTTCATGAGTAGTCATAAGTAGCGTTGTAAGAATGGTAACTTTGCTTGTAACATCTTCTAACCCTATTTAGGGTACTTCTCTCACCCGACGTATAATTACACCTTAAGCCCTAAATGAACCTGAACTTGAAGATCGATCGCCTGGAGCTCACGACACCAGGTACTGGCGGCGTTGACCCTGCTGACATCCGCCTTCGTCTACTCGAACACGCTGAACCTGAGCTGAATCATCCTAAACCCTAAACCCGAAGCCCTATAAACCCGAGAAGCCCTTTACAGTAAACCCTATAATTACACCCTGCGCCTTTATATAACTTTACAAACCCGAATCCGGAGAGACCAGTGCAGGGTTCCAAATACGGCTCCCTTGCGGGAAGGGCCACCCCAAAAGAACCTTGCTTTACACTACTAGCACCTACTAACCCAAAACCCTAAACCCTAAACCCTAAACCTTCACTTACTTTCCTTACTGGTTCTTAGTAGGGTATGAGGGAGCGAATTCGGTCCCATTAGTATCTAATTCCTTGAAGGGTTGACAAGGTAAACCCTAAACCCTAAACCCTAAACCCTAAACCCTAAACCCTAAACCCTTAGAGTTTAGGTTTAGGGCTCATTCCTGAGAGCGGGCTGCTATCAATGTTGCATCGCTGCCTCGCGCGAGAGAACCGGTTTGCCATCGCCCGACTGCAACTTGTGGAGCTTTCTAGGGTTTAGGGTTTAGGGTTTAGGGTGTCCCCCCATTCTAGGTACCTTTGATGCTCGAATCCTTGAAGTAGGCACAAAAAGATCCCTGACGATCCTAATTTCTACGAATTGCTTAAGAACCCCCAAAAGAATGAACACATTCTTGCTTACAAGGGTAATCTGGGGGTTGTTACTTTTTTTTTGGGGGGGGGGGGGGGGGGGGGGGGGTTTCTTAAGCAAACAGTAGATGTCGAGCCGCTCACACACGCGAGGTATATGTTCATCTTTGCCGGGCTTGGGCTACGAAGGATGCTTGCGCAGTCCAAGCTTGATCCGGCCAGCATCTGTGCCGCGGCAGCCGAAGCTTGTTTTCCGGTCCGGAGGGCCCGATAGCCCTGTAATTCAGGAAGGAACCCAACAAATTATTATATCCCAGAATTATGATGGGAATCTTTGTTATGGTGAAAGGCAGTTCTATGATGTAAGGTAGAGCATTGGGCTCTCTGGAGGTTAGGGCACGGCTTTGGGGACGTCCACGGCCATCAGCTCTGTTGACGAGTTACCCCAACGGCTTGTTGTTTTCCGCAGTTTCACAACAGGAGCCCAATACCGCCAATACCCCTCATTTAATGAATAGGGCTTAGGGCTCAAGACCCCCTGTCAAGCAATTCTGCCAAAATTCAAGAAGGATCCTGTATGATTAAGTAGACTCCTTGGAGGGGTCACAGGGCGCGCTGGGTTCTTTGGCGTCGCGTTTGGCAGCTCATTATCCGCCGCGGTCCTGCTTGTTTGCGTGCGGTCATTGTATCTTAAACCATATATAGGGACCCTTATGATGATGCAAGATGCATTGCTTAAGTAAGGGGGGCATTTGGCCTTTTGGGAACCAGGAACCCTAAACCCTAAATCCACCCCGCAGTGCTGTGGCTAGTCAGGTGGCAAAAAAACCCTAAACCCTAAGCCCTAAACCGTAAACCCTAAACACTAACCCCTAAGCCCTAAACCCTAAGCCCTAAACCCTAAACTCAAACCCTAAACCCTAAACCCTAAGCCCTAAACCCTAAACTCAAACCCTAAACCCTAAACCATAAACCCTAAACCCAGGTGAAGCCTACACCGCCGACTTGCCGTCCACCCCAAGCGGCAAGAGCGGCTTCCAAAGGCATCGGGGGGTGTAGGAGATCATTGCTACGTTAGGGTTTAGGGTTTAGGGTTTAGGGTTTAGGGTTTAGGGTTTAGGGTTTAGGGTTTAGGGTTTAGGGTGCTACTTGGAGGTTCATGGGCCCACCCATGAATCTCCAAGCGCACGGCCACGGTGCTGGCTTCGCTTGAGATGCACGGCTGTGCACATGGGCATTTGCCAAAATCACCCCCACGCCCCCTCTTCCCGGCACGTTCTCGCATTCCAGTTCCGTGACAGACGGTGCATCCAGAAAATGCGCTTCACCTCGGAGCTTACAGCTGAGCGCGAGGGCCGCGATCATCAGCGAGAAAGGTCGTGCCGCGCTGGGTAATCTTTCTGTTTTCTACGCCAGATTCTCCTGTCGCCTGTGTTCGTTGCGGCCATTGCTTGTTGCGCATTATTCTCCATTGTTGAAGTTTTTCGTGGGTGGAAGGGTACGGTCGAGGTCACGAAGTTTTCTTGCATCTTGACTTGGCCAAACGGTCTCACTCCAGGTCGTCGCACCGCTGGCGCTTCTTGTTTTCGTCCCACTCGTTGAACGTTGGTGAGGGCATTTGCTGTGTGTTCTTCTGCGGTTTCTAGCTGCTGCAACCCGGCAAATCACGATGGGCTCATCGCTGCCCTGCAAATCTCTGCAGTATGATCTGTGCTCGGCTGCACCGGAGCCCGTGCCGCACGATGCCCCAGCTCCCCCGCATGCGTCGGGCGTCCGCGTTGGCGTGAACTGCTTGGAATCACTTGGTATGAGTCTGAGTATGTCCTTTCACACCGGCCTTGTAACTCAACAACAAGTGGTCACTGCAGCTGCGCTGCGGTCTTCCTTGGGTGTCTACACCGCCTTTGCTTTGCCTTCTTTCAGTGATATGTGTGTTGGCTCTCAAGGGCATTCCTGATGCCGCAGGATTTTGCCCCTTGGTCGCTTGGTTAGGTGAGACAGAAGGGGGCTTTTCGATTGGAATCATACATGGGTGGTTGTCAACATCATGATCGCTTTTGGGGTACTTCGGTGTGCTGTATTAGAATAGGGATCCAAAAAGGTACCACAATCTACAGCAAAGAACCCCAAAAGAATGAAGAATAATAATCCCTATATCACCCTTAATAAGGAATAGTATTATTACTTTTCCGGGGTTCTCAAGCAACTAGGGTATTTTGACAACCTCCCCTATTTACTGTGTCTTGTGAGCATGAGGACTTTGTCATAGTTGCGTACCATTTTACATGTTTAAGGGTACTTAAACCCTATAAGGAATAACAAAATCAATTTCAAATATTATCCCAACCATGAACTCGAGTAGTGTATGGGTGCCCTAAATTCTTGATTCCATCTTCTCCTCCCCTGGCTGCAGTATCACCCAGTGAGAGGGGACACCGAGACTTAGGGTTTAGGGTTTAGGGTTTAGGTGCTCTAAGCCTTACCCTGCACGGGTAAGTGACGAGCTTTGCCGACCTTCCGCACGCAGCGCCGTCACTCGAAGCACCCGAAGCTCTTCAAACTTTGGGCGTCTTTGTGGTTTGATTGTAAGGTTTAGGGGTTAAGGGTACGTAATACTTGGAGGTTCATGGGTAGCTTTACAGCTTTAAGAAGGATTATGGAAAAACCCACCACTCCATTCGGGGACTTCTAACCCTCCTTATACCTACCCATGAACTCCAAGTAGTAGCCCAAAACCCTAAACCCCACACCCCCAAGTAGTAGCCCAAAACCCTAAACCCTAAACCCTAAACCCTAAACCCTAAACCCTAAACCCTAAACCCTGCACCCCCAACGGCTTAACGATGGCAAGGCCCAGCTTGGACCCTAAAACCGTGAAGCATTGGATCATCTTGCACCTCGGTCTGTCAATGCAGTCAATGCATGGGGGTACCCTAAACCCTAAACCCTAAACCCTAAACCCTAAACCCTAAACCCTAATCCCTAAAACCCTAGAACCCTAGAACCCTAGAACCCTAGAACCCTAGAACCCTAGAACCCTAGAACCCTAGAACCCTAGAACCCTAGAACCCTACTCTTGCACCTCGGTCTGTCAATGCAGGTGGGGTTTTCGGGTCCAGCGGGTCATACTCGGACCCCTTACAGATGTACCCCTTAAGGGGTTACTCCTAATATGGACCTTGTAACCCTAAACCCTAAACCCTAAACCCTAAACCCTAAACCCTAAACCCTAAACCCTAAACCCTCAACCCTAAACCGAAGGGCGCAACCTTTGAGGTCCGAGGTAGAGTCCCACGAGGCGCGTGTTCTTAATGCTGGTTGGTAGGGAATGAACTAAAGCGTTTCAGTGAACACGCCATTGCCTATGGGGTTTAGGGCTTAGGGCTTAGGGTTTTGGTGCAGTGAACGATTCGGGCCGAATCTAACAGCTTGCTGTGGGTTGTAGTCGTTGCACCTATGGGTGCAGCTGTCTGACCCGGTACACCGGCTATTCAGGCAGTCGAGAACCCCAAACCCTACTTGGAGGTTCATGGGACTTAATAACCACATATAGCTGGGCTTATAACCCTACTTATAATTGGGATAACTTCTATAAGGCCCTTTAGGGGTATTATAAGTAGGGTTATAAGTACAGTTAAAATGGGTTAGTAAGTACCATGAACCTTCAAGTAAGTCCTACCTGACCCCCCCAAAAGTATGCAGACTTAAACCCTAACCCTAAACCCTACACAAGCCAATGGGTCTTCTGTCGAGGTACATGTCCTTAAGGGAGAAGTGGGCTCTGGAAACTTGGAGGTTCACGGATAGTTTTTGTAGAAGGGTTCTTCAAGTACCCCAAATGGTCATACGTGTATAGTTGCCATGCTGAATCCCTAAACCCTAAACCCTAAACCCTAAACCCTAAACCCTAAACCCTAAACCCTAAACCCCCAAGTCTCTGAGGCCGCAATACAAGGAGGACATCGAGACGGTGGCGTTGTCGATGAAATCTGCGGCCAGCAGTTGCTATGCGACTTTTCCTTTACAGTAAACGGGTTTAGGGTGTAGGGTTTAGGGTTTAGGGTTTAGGGGTTGGCACGTACTTATCCCCATACCCCAAAATGTATACTAAAGGTAATTCCACTACCCCTAAGGGTCCATGTACCTAAATAGGGTAGACTTGGGCCTTAAAGTACCTCCTATACAAGGACTTTGGGCCCCAGGTCATAATAGTAGGTACATGGACCCTTGGGGCTCTAAAACCCTAACCCCTAAACCCTAAGCCATTGTGAAAACCATAAACCCTAACCATGTTCCAACTTTCTGGAGTTTCCCGTGCATGAGCACGCATGTTTCATGACGGAGGGCCGGAACCTGGATCGAGGTCCCCAATATACTCCCATCTTGTTTGGGTTTAGGGTTTAAGGTTTAGGGTTTAGGGTTTCGGGTTTAGGGCTACTTGGAGGTTCATGGCGGTAGTTACAAGTAAGGTTACAAGGATGGTAGCTATACTCAAAACCCTGCTTAGGGCATTAGGACCCTACTTATAACCACCCATGAACCTCCAAGGAACGATAACTCGGAAGGGTAGCCCTTACACAAAAACGGTTTAGGGTTTAGGGTTTAGGGTTTAGGGTTTAGGGTTTAGGGGAGCCGCCCGCCTTTTGAGGCGAAGTCGTCCATCAGCATCTTACTGGCTATGGAGGAAAGAGAGACAGATGCAGAAGGACTGGCCGCAGAAACTGCTAGGAGGTTCCGACACTGAACGCACCAAGGGAGAAACAGGGTTTAGGGTTTAGGGTTTAAAGTTTAGGGTTTAGGGTTTAGGGCTTAGGGCTTAGGGTTTAGGGTTTAGGGTTTAGGGTTTAGGGTTGAGTCGATCGTACCCCTTACTTTGGGAATCTGCCTTCAACTTTACAGCTTCCTTAGTGCGAATTATGGTATCCTTAAGTTCAGGTAGCCATGCTCAGGCCCCATCTCAGAAGAGCCCGCCGCGATCCTAACTCCGGACGCGAGCTGAACTCATCCTGTTAACCCTAAACCAGAAACATAGTAGGTGTAGGTGTCACGGGGCTTCAATCTTCTGACTCACCGACAGAGAGGTCCGAGTGTGAGTGGTTAAACTCGAAACACCGAACCCTAAACCCTAACCCTAAACCCTAAACCCCAAACCCTAAACCTTAAACCCTAAACCCTAAACCCTAACCCTAACCCTTAAACCCTAAACCCTAAACCCTCGAGCCCTGGACAGACAAAGTCAAGCAGCTCACGGAGCAGTTCAAGGATCAGTTTGAAGACGCTTGGCCCGCAAGAGTTTGAGGCACGTATTCCTGGGGGGTTTAGGGTTTAGGGTTTAGGGTTTAGGGTTCAGGGTTCAGGGTTCAGGGTTTAGGGTTTAGGGTTTAGGGTTTAGGCGGTTCTGAGCCACGAGGGCCCACTGGCGGAGTGGCTCTAGGTTCCTTTTGGATCATTGGGTTGTTAGTGTATATTTAGGCCAAAAAGGATTCCAAGGGCTTATCCTTGAATCACTGCGTGCTGGGAGGTCCCGAGTCAGGGTCCTTAGTGGTTCCTACATCCATTACATGGAGGTTCATGGGACTCAGTAACCACTTATAACTGGGATTTTATCCCTACTTATAATTGGGATAGCCCAAGGCCCTTTAGGGGTATTATGAGTAGCCATAATTGGTTAGTAAGAACCCCTAAACCCTAAACCCTAAACCCTAAATTGGTTAGTAATTACCATGAACCTCGAAGTAGGATGGATGCCTTGATAGGCCCAAGGCTTTGTTTCGGAGTTCTCACGTGGAAGCCCTTTTGACTTAGTAAGTTGGGTTTATGATGACCATAAGGGATTCTCAGTAGACTACCCTAAGCCCCCAACCCTCAACCCTAAACCCTAAACCCCAAACCCCAAACCCCAAACCCTAAACCAAAACAGCTTCCAAGCAGGCTTTCTAGTAGCTCACTTGAGAACGACCTCGAGTTGCAGTGCTGAACCCCATAAATCTGAAAACCCGGAACCGGGGATCCTTTGGTTAGGGTTTATGGTTTAGGGTTTCGGGTTTGGGGTTTAGGGTTTAGGGTTTAGGGGTTCCCTTGCCCAGGACATCAAGGCAAATTACCATCCGGCAGACCTGCCCAATGATCCGCCCGGCAAAGCGAGCAACGTCAGTCACGCCTTTCGATACTTGCTCAGCCAGGCACGGTCGGTTTAGGCTTCAGGGTTTAGGGTTCAGGGCAGCTCACAGCCCTCACAGCCCTCTAAGTATGAACCTGTATAGGGATCCCAATAATTTCCAGACTATGATACCTGTGACTCCCAAACCCTACAGATTAGCAGGTTATAGCCTCCTAAATATGGGGCGTAGCCCCCAAACATGAATTGCTGATTGGGGTATCGGATAGTATCGGATCGGTACCCCTAAACCCTAAACCTGTGATTCCGCAGAAAGTGAGCAACTGTGAGTATCACCGAGTCCCTTTGTCATAGTTGGGTACAATTTCCATTTGTAAGGGTACTTAAACCCTATAAAAAGTTGAGTTTTTATATTATCCCAACCATGAACTAGGTCAGAGTGAATGAGCTGAGTATCACCGGGGCCCAAACGGGCTTCATGGAGGGACTTTGAGACACTGTGTGCCTCGCCGGGCTTGTTTGAGTGTGAGCGATTAAACCCTAAACCCCAAACCCCAAACCCCAAACCCTAAACCCCAAACCCCAACCCTAAACCCCAAACCCGAAACCCTCAACCCTAAACCCTAAACCCCAAACCCTAAACCCCAAACCCCAAACCCGAAACCCTAAACCCTAAACCCTAAACCCTCCGAAGGTGCACTCCTTGGAGAACACCGTTTTGACGGTGGCGGATGCGGACTCGGAGTTTGGCCAAGGTCCCTGAGCAGTAGGGTTTAGGGTTTAGGGTTTAGGGTTTAGGGTTTAGGGTTTAGGGTTTAGGGTTTAGGGTTTAGGGTTTAGGGTTTAGGGTTTAGGGTTTAGGGCTACTTGGAGGTTCATGGGTAGTTATAAGTAGGGTTTTAAGCGCGGCAACCATACTTTAGACTCTACTTGGGGTACTAGCTTATAGCTGCGGCTCATTGGGGTCGTGGAGAGTGAGGGTTCCCTAAGCCATAAACACCGAAGGCGCCCCAGAACGAAGCCCCTAAGCCCCAGACTAGATGAACCCTACCCCGTAAATCCTATAAACCCTAGGCTACTTCGAGACCTTGTCCTGGAAGTTTGCGGAGTGTGATCCGACAGAGAGATACACCAAAATCTGGCAATCGCCAGTTTTCCACATGAGCCCCGGCCGCAAAAAGAACCGGGTTTAGGGTTCAGATTTAGGGTTTAGGGTTCAGGGTTTAGGGTTTAGGGTTCAGGGTTCAGGGTTTAGGGTTCAGATTTAGGTTAGGGCAGTGAATATTTTGTGAAAGGGTAGTTATTGGGCTCTCCAAGAAACATAAGGAAGAACTACCATCGCCAGCCGGCCCCTGTCGTGGTGGGCACCATGTTCACTTCCATGCAGGACGATGGGGGCTGCGGTTTCGAGCATACCCAACCTCCCCTCCCCAGGGTGCCCACGTACCCAGAAAGTTCCCTTCTTGCGGGTTTGCTGTGCAAGTATAGCTCTATGGTCACTCAATCCCGATATTCTTCGTAACCCTATACCGGCATTGGAAGTTTAACTGGTGTAGGCACCTCCTTCCCCTATCCATCCCAGTTGTGCGGGAATGTTTCCCAGGGCTTTGCAGAAGTCTCGGTATGTGCATGCGTCACCAAATGCGCTTGCCGCAAAGCAATGACCTCCGGGTTCTTTGCAGGGAATTGAGGTAGTGAGGTACCCTACATAACTTGTTGAAGGGTATACATATATATATATGTGTGTGTATATACATATATACCTAATTTTCTGGGTCCCTACTAAGAATCAGATGGATGACGCTGGATTGAAGGAACCCGCTCTTCTTTGGAGCTGGCCAGCGCTTGCCTCACAGCCATGCTAGTACCCCTCAAAGTCAGTTTAGGGTTCAGGGTTTTAGCGTTTAGGGCTGAACCGCGAGGAGCTTGCCGGACTTTCGGACCCCAGTGCCGTGCGCTTCCCTTACTCCACCTACTCCTTGTCCGTGGCATTGGCCAGGCACCATGGTCTTAAGACATGGTTTAGGGTTTGGGGTTTAGGGTTTAGGGTTTAGGGCCGAGTCTTGCAGTTCCAGTTCAGCTTGCGGCGCGCCAACTGGTAGTTGCCCGTTGGCCGGGGCATTTCTACAACAGGGGCGCCGCGGCCCCTGACATCCAGCGCCCCAAGTCCTAAACTACACCCGAAACCCCTGAACCCTGAACCCTAAACCCTAAACCCGAAACCCTAGCCCCGAACCCTAAGGCCCCCCAAAAGCCCCCTCTTTCAGGCAGGTGGGCGGCTGGGATGTGCAGTGGATTGCGGAAGACTACCACATGGGGATCAAGTGCTTCCTGATGACTTTGGGAGTCCTGGCTTTCATCTTTAGGGTTTCGGCCATGTAGAGGGTAGGGTTTAGGGTTTATAGGGTTTAGGGATTAGGGTTTAGGGTTTAGGGTTTTTAGGGTTTAGGGGTTTAAGCCCTGAACCAGCATAGGCAAGACCACTGTGGAGCCGGTGATGACGCCAATGATGAATTATGTTCCCGAGGACGAGAAAGGCGACTGGTATGGCATCTCGCTGGCACAGTGCATGGGTTTAGGGTTTAGGGGTTTAGGGTTTAGGGTTTAGGATTCAGGGTTTAGGGTTTAGGGTTTCCTGAGTTGAAGGGTTTAGGGGAAGCAGGAGGAAAGTCCATTATTCACCGGGCGTTTGGTCATCTGCTGACAGCAGCTCAGCGTGACGGAGCAACCCGGATCAGATGCAAAAGGGAAGCCCTAAACCCAGATGCAAACAGGGGGTCCCGCAGTCCGAATCCTTACGCCCCCAAGCCGTCACCCCGAACCTTAAATCACCCTCAGCCCTAGACGCTAAACCCTAAGCCTAAACCCTGAACCTTGAACCCTAAACCCTAAAGCCTGAACCCTGAGTCCTGAACCCTGAACCCCAAGCCCCTGTGTGAGGTACTTGCATGGCACGGTGGGTCCAGCTGAAGCGGCACGCTCTGGGCTTCTCCGACCCTCAGCTGCTCCCATGGGAAGCCCAAGACCCTTAAACCCTGGGTTTAGGGTTTAGGGTTTAGGGTGTAGTTTAGGTACATTCCCACCTCAAGGAATCTAAACCCTAAACCCTCAACCCTCAGTTAAGCTACCCTTAAGGAAAAGTCCTTGAAACTTCAGGATTTAGGGTTTAGGGTTTAGGGATAGGGTTTACGCAGTTCAACTGTTAGCAGAAGGACCCTGATTCTGGATTCAGCTGTTGTAGGAGGGCTATTGGGATCTGGGAACCCGTAACCTTACGCCCTAAACACTAAGCCCTACAACTTCCCAGGACTTCTCCTACTATTTCATGATGCTGCCGCTTGTGCTTCTCGGTCAGATTGAGTTGCATGAAGGAAGCAGCCATTTTGGGTTGTTGAGTCTAAAACCCCTTGAGAATTATTTTTCTTATTTTTGTTTCTACAAAACCCAAGAGGATATTACAAATATTATTTTTATTCATGTTCTAAGGGGAGTAATTCAAGGAGTATCTGACAGACGTGAGCTCAACGGAATGGTACGCTCTGTTCGGACACAGAGATTTGCTGCGTGTGTGTCTCTGCGTGGGTGCTCGCGCGAGTCCGTCTCCGTGTATGGGCTTGTTTGTTTGGCTGTTCGTTTGTTGCTACTTCCTTTGTGCGTTGCTCGAGTTAGGCTCTTTTTTGTGGAAGACGCTCCTGCAACATGGGCCCGCCAGGGTGTGCAGCGTCTGTCTGCAGGTAGTCTCTGAAGCTCAGCTTGCCGGGTGCCCACATGGGCCGTTGCTAATGGGAGTTCTACTCCTAAACCCTAAACCCATCAAAGCCCCTTTACACCAAAAAGGGTAGGGGGGGTAGGGGGGTGGGGGGGGTAAGGGGGGTGGGAGGGGGGGGGGGTTGGGGGGGGGGGGTTGGGGGGGGGTTGTGGGGGGGTGGGGGGGGTAGGGGGGGGGTACCCTTTTCATTCCTTGGCCACTCTTGGGCCTTGCCTACTGCAAGAGGGACTTAGAAGTTAGCTGTAGGACAACTCTCGGTCCACAAAAAAGGTTCAGCTACTCGACTTCGAACGTGGGCCAGAACACCGAGGGCCTTCAGGTGGTGTGGGGGGTGGGGGTGGGGGGGCTGGGGCTGGTTTGGGGCTTAGGGGTTTGGGGTGTAGGGTTGGGTTTTCCCAGGCAGTGCAGCAGTCCTAGCCGTAAAAAAGGGTTGGGTTTGGGTTTAGGCTTGGGGGGGGGGGGGGGGGGGGGGGGGGGGTGTTGGTTTCTGGAGCGGAGCTTTGCACACGGAGTGTTCTTTTTGTACAACATTGTGGCTGAGCCTTGCCACAACAACCCCAAAGTACTTGACTTCTTCGAGACTCCTTACGGTTTACGGTGAGCTTGCGCTTCTCCTCTGTCCGGTTTTTAGTATGTAGAGTACCAAATTCCCACATTCTCTACTAAGAACCAGAAAGCTGTTTCCTATACCCTAAACCCTAAACCCTACACCCTACACCCCGAAACCCTAAACCCTAAACCCTAAACCCTAAACCCTAAACCCTAAACCCTAAACCCTAAACCCTAAACCCTAAACCCCAACGACAAAGGGCCGCTTTTCTCGTCTTAGCAGGGCTTCTGGCGCATGCTGAGCTACGGCACGACCTTGCTTATCCGTCTGGTGAACGTTCACGTGCTCATCGGAGTGCCCAGCCGTGAGGGTTCAGGGTATAGGGTATATAGGGTTTAGGGTTTAGTGTTTAGGGTTACTTCGAGGTTCATGGTCATCGGAGTGCCCAGCCGTGAGGGTTCGGGGTATATAGGGCTTAGGGTTTTTGGGGTTTTGAGGGTTTTTGGGGTTTTTGGGGATTTTAGGATTTTTTGAGGGTTTTTAGGGTTTTGAGGGTTTTGAGGTTTTTTTTTTGGTTTTTAGGGTTTTTAGTTTTTTTTTGGTGTTTTTAGGGTTTAGGGTTACTTCGAGGTTCATGGGTAGTTATAAGTAGGGATGTAGGTATGGGAGCTATACTTCGGACCCTATGTCGGATGCTTTGAACCCTGCAGATGAACGCCCAAGTAGGGTCTTGGGATGCAGTGCGTTGCACACGGCTGCAAGAGGCCAATCGTAGACCCTGAAAACTCAAAGCCTAGATTCGTTTTTGGGACGTTTTGTATTTTCCTTATTAGGGTTCATAAGGGACCCTAAATGTAAATTTTGTTCAGAGGGTTTAAAGGCCAACCTAGAAGCTCTTGAAGCCCGAAAGCCGAGGTTCTGTCCACCTATGGCGCCATGGAGGCAGCGTTTCTCAGATGCAAGAGGGGTTTAGGGTTTGCTTGGAGGTTTTTCGGTAGTTATCAGTAGGGTTAGGTCTAAGTTTGTTAGTATGGGTATCTTTACGAAACAAACCCTATTCGAGGTACTCCTATAACTCTACTTCTTCTAACTACCCGTGAACCTTCAAGTAGGGTTTAGGGGCTTTTGAAGCCCAAACGTCCATACCTACACCCTAAACCGCAACCCTAAACCCTAAAGCCTGAAGGGGCATCGGGGCCCTCTCGTGCCTTCATGCTTTTGGTCTGGAGGTAGCACGTGGAAGCCCTTTGGACTCAGTAAGTAATGTTATGGGGGCTCGTAAAGAGTTCAGGGGTTTGGGGCTTAGGCTTGAGGGTTGACCCTAAACCCTAAACCCTAAACCCTAAACCCTAAACCCTAAACCCTAAACCCTAAACCCTAAGTCAACAGGGCTTCCATGCCTCTTGGAGGCACCCGGCCCTCTCCCCTCCTTCTCAAAAAGGGACATCGCAATTCCCTGTTTGCTTAAGAGCCACTGAAACAACAGAAGCATTCTTCCGTGCACGGGCAACATGGGGACTACTATTGTTCATGTTTTGCGGGGTTCCCAAGCAAAATAGTAGCTTATAGACCCCTGTAAAATTCGAAGCCTGGCAGTCCAAGAGGTGGCGCCCCGCAAGTCATGAAGGATGTACCTTCAAACTGTGCAGGGAAGCGTATCATGAGTTGAAGCTCCTAAGCTCTTCGCCTCAATTTGCGGGACATTGGGCCGACCCCTCACCCTAAATCCTAAACCCCAAATTTGTGATGTTCCCCCTTTTGCAGGCAGTCCTTAATCGGTACTATAATAGGGGATACTGTACTATTCCCTGTTAAGGTCTGCTAGTATAAGGGGGAACCCAACCCTCAACCCTAGACCCCTCACCCCGAACCCTCAACCCTAAATCCCAACATCCCTAAACCCTAAACCCTAAACCCTAAACCCTAAACCCTAAACACTAAACCCTAAATCCCTAAACCCAAAGCCCTAAGCCCTTCTTTGCAGCCCCAGGCTGAAGCTGATCATCAGAACTTTCTTCAGGCGGCCAGGGTGGGACTCCGAAAGGGAGGAGCTTCCTGTTTTCGGGTTTAGGGCCGAGGGCCTAGGGCTTAGGATTTGGGGTTTAGGGTTTAGGGCGTAGGGTTTAGGGTTTAGGGTTTAGGGTTGAGGGGTCGGAGGGTAGCGGTAGGGGCTACTTGGGTATATAGGGACTATATAAGGTATACATAAGGGGGTTATCTAGTGGAAGAAGATGAAGGGTCCTTTCTTGGGGTCCCTCCTCATGTCTCTCTAAAAGGTCCGGCAGTGTGGGACCTTGGCTCTCCTATGGTATGCAAAGGGTATATAAGGGATCCCCACGCACATTTAAGGGACCATGTACCTACACTCAGACATTTTGTGCTTAGGGGTTTAGGGTTTGGGGTTTTTGGGTTGCATAGGCGTCTCCTCCCTCATGCCACGAAGCCAGGAGTACAGGACAAGGCCCTAAACGTGTAGGGCTTGGGTCAACACAAGACCTCAAGCGGATTACACCGACATCCTCACACCCGAAATCCTACAAATCCCGAAGCCCCTGAACCCCCAAACCCTTAGCTCCATTCTGCCAGGTTTGATCGGTGGCCTGATTTCCTGTTCTTTCATGTCGGAGTTTTCCCGAAGTACCTCATGAGCCTCGGCATTTAGTATTTCGGCCGCCTTGGGAACCGCACGCCTGCTTTTGCTAAAATGGGCGTTTCGCCTAGGCGAGACGCTTGCGGAACGGATTTTGTTTAAACAATTCTTCGCGACACGCGCTTCGCCTAGGAAACGGCGAATTGCAAGCTCGGACACGCTTTCAGGGATGTGAGCTCTGTGTTCATGCGGGTTGGTGTGTCAAGGTGTAGAGTTTTCGGGAGTGTGAGGTTTTCGGGCTCGCGCCCTAGTATCTGCAGTACTTTCAGGTGCCAGGAACCCTAAACGCTAAACCCTAAACGAATGAAAAAGGACAGGATACCCATATATGGCAGCCCTGGGAAGGGGGCGCTTAGGGTGCAAGGTTTTTGGGCTGCTTGCGCTGTTGTTTTCTTCAGGGCGTGGGTTTCGGGTTGTAGGAAGTTTGCCACACCCTGGCATATTGCGACCAAGCGGTTGCAAGCTGTTTCGAACATTTTTTGTATTTTGGTTTCAGTCCCCAAACCGTAAACCCCAAACCCTGAACCCTATAAACCCCAGGTCTTTCGAGCCTTGTCTTTAGCAACCTGACCCTTGAACAGAGTTCGGCCTCGACAGGCAGAAACGCCACATGTGAGAGCAGCATTTGGGCGTGAATGAGAACCATGTTGTAGGGTTTAAGGTTTATAGGGTTTAGGGTTTAGGGTTCAGGGTTTAGGGTTTCGGGTTTAGGGTTTAGGGTTCAGGTTTAGGGCTTAGGGTTTCGGTAACGCGGACACAAGAGATCATCGTGGGAATGGATGCTCCGGCAGTCTGGCAGCGTGGGCGCGCGCATCGTGCGGGCATGGGTGCCTTAGTGGGCGGACGCGCTCGTCCAGTACGGCCGCGCTAGTCGCAACCGCGTTACGTTTCGTTGAAACGACGGTTTTCATACCTTAAACTCTAAACCCTAAACCCTAAACCCGAATGACATGTTTTCTGATTTCGGCGTTGCGCCTTCCTGAAGCAACACGCGCACACACATCGTTAAGCTGTGCTAGCTATCATCTGGGTGCCCCTAAGTCAGGAACTATATTTTACATCACCCTGCAACTACCAATTGCTTAAGAACCCCCGCCCCAATAAGATGTACACATATTCTTCTGTACAAGGGCAATATAGTGATTATTATCTTTCAGTTTGGGGGTCTTAAGCAAATAGTAGTCCTACACCCTAACCGTGATAATTATCTTTGATGTTTTTGGGGGTTTCTGAAGCAAAGAGTAAGCAATGTGGGGATTTTCGAAATTCGGGGTATTTTATTGGGGTCCTTATTGGAAGGGAATCCTACTATTCGTAAACCCACAATTCTGCTCAACCAGCTGTGGCTGGAGTATACTAACAATTCTGTTCAACCAGCTGTGGCAGGAGTATACTAACAGCTCCTTAATAGGTATCATGGTACCCCTACTATCATCCCTATCAAGGACTCTTAGCATAAGGGGGAAAAACCCTAAATCCCTAAACCCTAAACCCTAAACCCCAAACCCCAAGTATTTATAAGATGCTTGAAGCATGGAAAAGGAAGGAAGGTGCAAACCAGGGCTCCCAGCGCGAGTGAAGGTCGGGAAGAGTTTTTTACGAACAGTGAATATATATATGACTGTAGGTTCAGGGTTCAGGGTTTAGGGTTAGGGTTTAGGGTTTAGGACGACTATTGTTCTGGTGATGACGCTGAGGGGTAGGAAGAGGCATTGTAGGAGCTTTCTAGCGGAGATGACATGTTGGGTGGGGGCCGAAGACCCTCAAATGGCTCACAGGATCGTGACGGTGGTGTTCACCATCTTTGTGTCCATCGTCTTCTTCATGACGTATGAGGTCTTGCTCAAGAAGCGCGTGGAGGGTCAGGCAAGTCATGGTCGGTTCGTGCACTGGCTTCAGACGCTGTGGATTCAATTAGTCTGCACTTCGTTTCTGTTTGCTATCCCAGGCATGCCCTCACCTGGGCCCATTGCAGGCTCACGAACTTAGGGCTTCTTGTCGGGTTTCACCCAAGGGTCTCCTGGTAGAAGCGCAACTGCAGCTACAAACAAGCGAGAGGCATTTGAAAAGCGCGCCACTTACCAACACGATCCAAGTAGCAGCTGACTGACACCAAGGAATCTGGCAGGCTTCTTGACTGAACTAGCACCTATTGCTTGAGTATGATGATACACAGCCGGCTATTTGCCACCATACTTTTTAAGCAACATGGTTACGTAGAGATTTCAGGAGGTTGAAGAGGGGATGAGCCAACACGGCAAGACCCAAACCCCTAAACTCGTAAGGCTTGGCCCTGGGCTCACCCATCTACTTCGTAATGCTGGGCTACGCCATCTGGCGGGCAGCACTCATGGCGCCTTTGCGGCAGCAAACGGAACATAATGTTAAGAACGAATAACACAAGAGTACATTAACAGAATGGGTATGGGTTTAGGGTTTAGGGTTTAGGGTTTAGGGCCTTAGGGTTTAGGGTTTAGGGTTTAGGGTTAAAAATGTGACAATCAGTGGGCCTCTGCACAGCTTTCAGGCGGCTGGGGTGTGCTACGTTTTCCCCTTCTTGGGTTTCAGAGGACCTTGTTTGGGAATGATTTAGGGTTTCGGGTTTTAATGGCCACGGCGCCTGGTTTCTACACATTTTCTCCTTGCTTGGGTTGAAGAGGTCCTTATCTAGATGATGTTTGAAGAGGGCCAGCCGAAGCAGGGTCACAACACTTCGGTTTAGGGTTTAGGGTTTAGGGTTGAGGGTTCAGGGCTTAGGGCTCAGGGTTTAGGGTTTAGGCAAGATTCCCTGCACACAGTGGATTGCATGCATAGGCCTTTGTCAATGACGACGCTGGGATTTGATCGGGTCATTCTGAGGTTGCATTTTCAGCCAGGTGTGGCAGACATGTCTTTGCGATTTGAGGGGTATAGGAGTTTCTGGGACCGTGTGAGCTCTTGCAGCTTCCATCCAGCAAAGGCTGAGTCAGCAACACCCCAAAACCCTAAACCATGAGATCATAGGTTATTGGGTTGCCTTCATGCCTAAAATCAGGAGTCCACAGCTGTCACGAAAGCACGCGTGGAAGACAATGACCCATGAAGGTCAGATGATGATGATGATGATGATGATGACGACGACGACGATGATGATGATGATGATGATCATCATGATTGGGTATTTTTTGGGGTGAACAAAACGAACCCAGGAAGTTCGACAAGGCCTCGAAGGACTTTAGGGTTGAGGGTTTAGGGCGTCCGTACTTCGCATTGACAACAGGTACTTGGAGGTGCCCACATAGGGTTTAGGGCTTAGGGGTTAAGGTCGATGACGGGTTTTGCCCCAAACCCCAAACCTTGGGGCATGAGATCGTTAAGGCGACAGCTGCTTGGGGGGTCCGCGATGAGATGCACGAACGCCTACTTCAAACCTCAAGGCAAGTAGCACCCGGCGAACCCAATGCCCGCCTACATGAATACTCCTTATATTAGTGAAAGAACGGTTTTGGCCTAAACCCCAAAGGACCTAAACCCTGAACGCTGTTTCCTGAAGCCTGGACGCTAGATACGTCTGTTGCTGTGCGCCTTTCATTGCAAGATTCCCTTGGCACGCTGAAGCCTTTGCCCTCATAACATGCAACGTGCATTTAACACCCCAATCGTAGGATTAGTTGCGTTCGAACTACAAGTATTACGGGAATGAATCGCAGCTGTCGTAGTAGTACCTTTCGTATAGAAAGTCCTTCGATTCAACCTTAAACGAAACGCCTCCTCAAAGGTGTTGACCCAGCGGTCATTTGAATACCACGTGGCGCCCAAGCCGAAGAAGGCCGAATTGCTCATGGGATAACCCTAACCCTGTTTGGGATGTAGGGTTTCTTTATGGTTTCCGTTTTGTTTAGGGTTTAGGGTTCATTCAGCGTTTCTCCCTCAAATGCAGCCAGCCAGTTCTCTGCAATATGGCTTTTCGTTGCGTACATGAATGGTACCCTAAACCGTATAGGGACCCGTATTATGATTTAAGGTGAATTCCTTTCCAAGGGGTATTGGGCTTTTTGGGAGTTTGCTGAAGGGATACTCAGGCCTATGGCACCATGAAGGGTTTAGGGTTTAGGGTTTAGGGTTTAGGGTGTAGGGTGTAGGGTTTAGGGTTTAGGGTTGAACCCTAGCACTTCTACTCAACCCTAAGCCCGAAACACCAAACCCCTCTACAAAGCAGCTTGAAACACAACCTACTGGGAGGGTTCATGGGTAGCTATAAGTAGGGTTGTAAGTATGGTAACTATACTTGTAACCTTATCAAGGGTGCTGATAACCCTACTCATAACTAAACCCTAAACCCTAAACTACACATGAACCTCCAAGTCCAGATGTCTCGCGGCCGTGGCGCTGTTAGAACGAAAGCTGTTGATTTACAGGTCTCTGGAGTTTAGGGTTTAGGGTTTAGGGTTTAGGGCTACTTGCCCCCCTACTTACTTGGAGGTTCAGGGTACTTATAACCCGGATTATAACTGCACCTATAAGCCCCCTAAGTCTCCTGAGTAGGTTATAAGTAGACCCATAGCTGTGGTTATAAGTACCCATGAACCTCCAAGGAATGTATGAAGCCCCTACCCCGCATTCTTCCCCGTGAGAGTAGATGATCGTCATAGTACTATGGGAACTACTTATATATATATATGTATATATATGTATATATATATATTATATTTTATTATATTATTTTATATTTTATTATATTATATTATATTATATAAGGTTTCGGGGTAGTGTGGGTGTTGAACATGAGGGGGAAGGGACTAAGCAGGCATCCCAGATCAACGGGTTCATCTGCCGCGGTTGTCATGCCTTGCCGCGGTGGACCGTGAACCAGTGGTACTTTCTGTCGGCCGTAGACCCAAAAACCACCTCTTCCAGCATGGGCAATTAGGCCTTCTATTCCCCCTAACCAACCCTATAAAGGGCCTTTTCAAGGGGTTATAGGGTATAATCGCCCATGCAGGTTCCTGACAGAACCATTCGCACCAACAGGAGTTTGATTTGCATAGGCACCTCAGACCGACCCCAGCTTGGGGGGAGCACAAAGAAGTTCTTACACGCGCAGGCGGACGCTTCCCAGAGCTCTGAGTCTGAAGAAGGCCGAAGAGGGTTTAGGGTGCAAGACATTCCATAGTATGCTTCAAGGTCTATCCCTTAGCTGCAGGGTATTGCGCTCTCAGGGACGGTTTTTTTGTGGATGCTTTGAGTTTGGGTCTGTCCAGATTGCTACTGAGTTCTATGCTTTGTCTCTCCGGTCTCGTCCTTATGATTCCCCCCTTTCTTCCGTTTTGTGCCGGAATGGAAAGAGATGGCAAGAAAAAACAAAGCCGATTCGAACTAGTTGAAACTGCAAGGCACTTTGCGCAAAACCCGACTGTGCCTAAACCCTAAACCTTAAACCCTAAGCCCTAAACCCTAACCCCTTCAACCCAGCTGAACCCTGAACCCTGAATCCTAAACCGGGTCACACGACCATGTTTTTCAGGATGGCTCTTTTTGATAATCGCGGGGGCTAAAACCCTAAACCGTACACCCTAAACGACTTCCCTAGCCGTCGCTCCACCAGGCTTCGCACAGTTGAAAGGATGCCAAGACGGGTGGCAAAAAAACAATCGATATCCTTGGGGCCTAGACCCAGAATAAACCAGGCACTCCGAAGCATTGTGTCCATTTTTGTACTCCGAGGGCTAAGCCCTAAACCGCACAAGAGGGTTGATCTAGAAGTCCTCCTTGGGGAGTTTTTGCAGAGTAGGGGTGGGCTTTATGCGAGAAAAGAATATATGGGGCTGTTTTTGGGAGCCATTGAGATCCTTTGTAATACCCTGATACCCTGAACCCTAAACACCCTAGACCCTAAACTGGGAGTGCGTGGCAGGACATGATCTCAAGATGAACCCTAAACCCTAAACCCTAACCCCTAAACTCTAAACCCTAAACCTAACCCCTAAACCCTAAACCCTAAACCCTAAACCCTAAAGCCCAATCCTTTCCCTGGGCAGGACACGACCCCAAGATGGAGCCTTGCCCGCGCTTTGCAGGGCACTTGCCTTTGTGAAAGTCGTGGCATGCTGTGGCCTCGCTGGGCCTCCTTTTAGGGTGTTTAGGGTGTTTAGGGTCTTTAGGGTGTTTAGGGTGTTTAGGGTGTATAGAGTGTTTAGGCTGTGTAGGGTGTTTAGCGCGTTTAGGGTGTAGGAGTTGAGGGTTTAGCGTTTTCAAGGGTTTTGAGGGTATTTGAGCGTATTCCGGCGCCAGATGATCTGGCATTTTAGACTTTATGGAGGCAGGGTTCAGACTCAGGGATTATAATTCATGAAGTTCCTGAACGGTTTAGCCATGCAGGTTTTAGGCTTTCGGGTTTCGGGTTTAGGGTGGGGGGCTGGGAATGAGTTTAAATAGGGATCCTTAACCGACTGTGGCCAAAAGCGTCTTAGGATGGTTTAGGGCTTAGGCGGCTTAGGGACCCCAACCCCAAACTCTTAGGGTTTAGGGTTTATGGTTTAGGGAAACTGTGTCCCTGGACGCCCGGATCAGGCCTAGCTTCATCTTTGCAAGACGGCCGGCACCTCAATTCCGAAGCTGAGTGGCTTCTTCGAAGCTCTTGGTCCTTGGTTGGTGCCCCTTGAGCCCCTAAACCCGAAGCCCTTGCTTGGGGGCCCCGAGAGGGATGAATATAATATATATATATATATATTATAAATAAATAAATATAAAATAAATAAATAAAGATATATATATATATATATATATATATCTGTATATGACCCTTAACCCTTCAGCGCCCTGTGCACCTCTTGGGATTTCTGGTTCTTTGCTGGTTTCCCCGAAACCCAAGTTTCGGTGCGCGCCGCCCTCAGAGTCCCCAGAGAGAGCCAGGGCATGTTCCTTAGGTGTGTCAGAAGGACCCTAACCGGGTTCTGGGAACCCTCCTTGACTATGGGTTTGGTAGCCCAGCGGTACCCTTTACCCTTTTTTTGGGTATGAGTTCCCTTATAAAGTAACCACCCTCAAAAAAGGCTGCCCTTATTATAATATGGTTACTGGGCTACTAAGTGGGTACGGGAGTTTCAGGTTTCGTCAGGTTCGCAGCTCGGCGCAAAGCACGTCACCGATTTTTTGTCGTATCTCCCCTCCTCAGTCCGGACCTTCGTACCCCAAACCCTACTAAACCTCCAACCCTCAACCCTAAACCCTAGACCCTAGACCCTAAACGCTACCCCCTTCCTCTGAAGCCCAGGCCCCGCGAGACAGCTCCTGAGCTGCTGGCAGCAACCTGAAGTACGCAACACGGGAAGCGGCCGTAGACCTATAGTCTCAACAGTATCTAGAACGGCATGTGGACAGACCTGGCTGCAGCCTTGCTTTCCACGGCCAGCTCGATGTCTGTTCATTGGTACCATTTTTATCAATGAGGCATGCAGACATCCAAAAAAATATGTTCCTTGCTGTTGGCCCCCAACGTCTGCCCCTGAACTAAGGAGCACACCTTAAATCATCACTAGGATCCCTGTATGGCATTGTTCCTTAACAATGGGGTATTGGCTCTCTGGACTCATCCTGGAATGCCAACAACTTGGAGGACCGGGATCCTTACTGTAGCAAGTCGGTCCAAAGTAAGGTTTCAAGTGCCCTAAAAGGGACCCTAACTGGATTATTTTGCATAGCAAGCCTATTTAATACGCTACTTGCGAAGTCCCCCTAAGCTCGAAACACAAAGATATATAGTTAGTATAATTATTTTCAAGTGAGTCATACTCGGACCCCTAAGAATGTACCCTTAAGAGGTTTCCCGTAATAAGCTCCTGATATGGCCCTTATATTCCCTTAGATCACCCCAAGCCCTAAACCCTTAACCGATGTACTTTGGCTTTCTTGCGTTGCTTGCTCTCCTGCGCGATTACTTGTCTGACTCGATGGCCCCATGAACCTTGCCAGCCTTGTGCGAGAGTCAGCGTCGAAACCCTAAACCCTCACGCCCTGAACCCTAAAACCCTTTAATTACCCTAAACCTCTCATTCCCTAAACCCCAAACCTTAGAAAATGCCAACCCTAAACCCTAAACCCTAAACCCTAAGTCCCCCGACCCTCCAACCAAGGGCTCCTTTACCTTCTTTTGGTGGCGGTTGCAGCCGAAGGCAGCAGCCGTCCTCCTGGCACAGCTCGAACCCCCAAAGAGCCCAACGTCTCCCTTAGTAACTTGGGGATCCTTGTTATGATTTGGGGTTTAGGGTTTAGGGTTTAGGGTTTAGGGTTTAGGGTTTAGGGTTTAGGGTTTAGGGTTTAGGGTTTAGGGTCGAGAGGCCAATATCCCTGAACCAACCGAATTCAGGGTTTTATGGTTAAGGGCTCTACGGCGGGGGCCTTCTCCCGGCATTCAGGCAAATTCGTGGATCCTTATTATGAGACTTTAGCTACATGGTCACTTCTCACAAATTTTGGTTCTTCTCTTAAGGGCGGCCCCTAGTATTTAGTACCCAGCAGGACCATAAGTTAGAGAACTGACCACATGAATTCATTCAGGGGTATTGGGCTCTTGGGAACTGTTCGAGCCTTTGCCCTGAGCTTGCATACCCAGAGCTTTCAGAGTAGCTTCACCAAGGAACACACAGCCCTGTGTTGATTTTACGACGATTCCTGAAGAAAAACAGCTGTTTTGGAGGATGTTTGTTTTTAATGTCAAGATGCTTTTCAGTGAGGGAAGCAGCTATGTTGGAAGAGCTGGGTAGCAGGGACTTAGTGGCTCTGTGTTGATTCTTTCTCTCGGCGATATGCGAAGCGTGACTCAGGCGAGCAGCTTCCCTTGGTAAATGCCAGCCTTGGGGTCCTTGCCTATCCAACATCGAAGTGTCGGGGGGCCCCATGTCTCATCTAAACCCTAAGGCCTAAGGCCTAAACCCTAAACCCTACACCCTACACCCTAAACCCGAACCCTAAACTCGACGCACAATGCAATTCCAAGCATGATCAGTTCGCCAGTTGCAGCGGTTACATGATGCAAGTACGATATTCTATTCCTTACCATTATTTACGGCGCAGAATTCCTTACACATCTTCTAGAAAGCACTTTAAGGCCCGAGTATTCCCTATTTAGACAAGGGACTCTTAGGGTAAATGATTTCCTACTTGGAGTTTCACCGGTAGTTCTAAGTAGGGTTATAACCACCCCAACTGGGGAAACAAGCATCATTCACTCTACTTATAGCCCTACCTAGAGCTACCCATGAGTCCCCAAGCAAGTCCCTGTCAAATGATTGGAATCATGCAAACTGTAGAAACACGTAGGAGAAGTCCGCCCAGGTTAATATCCGCCCCATGTTGTTGTCATTGCTGTTGGCGTCATATGGTTACTTCTCCAAATTATGGTCCGTTAGGGGCTACGATTATAAGACGGCCCCTGTCATTGGTACCCTGTTTCGAGAACTGACCATATTGTACCATTCTGAACTGGGAGCCCTCGTGAGCCCTAAACCCCTTAACTAAGGATTTCCGAAAACAGAGGTACCATTGTTGGGGTTTTTTGAAAGTATTTATTTGGGGCATATAAGAGTACCTTTTTTTGGGGAAATCCCCATATTGGGATCCTGACCATTATTTACGGTGCAGAATTCCTTATAACTATTCTAGGAAGCACTTTAAGGCCCGAGTATTCCCTATTTAGGCACAGGGACCCTCAGGGTAAATAATCTTGGTAGCCCAGTGGTACCCTTTTCCCTTTTTTTTGGTTCAAGGTTCCCTGATAAAGTAACCAACTGCCCTTTTTATGATATGGTTACCCTGTTACCAAGTAACAGCCCTAAACCTTCTGGGATGTTCCCCCTTATACCAACAATCCTTAATAGGGATGATAATCCCGATAACGGATTGTTAGTATAAGGGCGAGCATCCCAAAGAATCCCTATACCCTAAACCCTAAACCCTAAACCCTGGACAGGTACGTGGGTCTTTGTGCCGAGCATGCCCGACAGCTACTTTCCAGCGTCCTCCGCGCTGCGGAGCAGCACGTTAGATCTACGGCTTAGGGTTTTCGGCTTGCAAAAAAAGGGTCTTTGGGTCTGCTATCTATCTATCTATCTATCTATATATATATAGAGAGAGAGAGAATAATGAAAAAGCGCAGGCGCCTGACTCTGCTGTAAGCAGGTCCATGAAGACGATCGCGTCCACCAAGTTTAGTGGATGTGCCGCCGCCCTGTCTTCAGGGTATGATGGGCCTATAGGAACCCCTGAAAGCCCAAGACTGCTTGTTTGAAGAATACTATCCTAGGACTCAGAGTCGGCCCATACTCCCTGCTTTAGGGCTAAGGTTCCCTTTCAAGCCCCTTTGAACCAGAAAGGGCACGCATGTTATTCCTGGGTTACTCTTGGGTCTAGTATCTCCTTAACTTCATGAGGAGTCTTATTCTGACTGTTGAGGTGCTGAGGTTCACATGGTCGTGATGTGCGTCAGAAGTGAAGCGGGACTAGGGTACTTGGGCCTGAGATCTCAATCCTGGGTTGAGGGTTTAGGATTTGAGATTTAGGGTTTAGAGTTCATTGTTTAGGGTTTAGGTCAGTTCCCCCCCCCCCCCCCCCCCCCCCAAATCCACCGAAACCCTAAACACTGGCTCGCTCCAAGCTGTGCGCAAGTTTGGGCCGTCGTGAACCGTCGATTCACGCACTCGACGCACGTCGACACGTCTAGTCCCAAAGCCTAAGCCCTGCACCCTGATCCCCCCAACCCTCATTTCTTTGTTTGTTCTTGATAGCTCTCTCTTTCTCTCTCTCTCTCTCTCTCTCTGTCTCTCACTCTCTCTTTCTCTCTCTCTTTCTTGTTGAAACTATTCGACAGTATCCTTGAAATGGATGAGAGAATTGAGAAACAAGGATATGTGCTTCTTTGTTTGGCTCTCTCGTCATGTGCTTGATTGTTTCACAATGTCTGCCTATCGTTCGATTGTTCGTCTGCCAACCAAGACTAGGTCCCAAAACCCCAAAATCGAGCCCCCGAAAAGGGGCCTTAAAACTTAAACCTTCAGCAACCCTCAATGAAAGCCTTGCAACCGAATCCCTCTAATCCATAAACTTTAACCCTGAACCCCAACCAAAAAACGGAACCCCAAACCCTAAACCCCTAAACCCCCAAACCCCCAAACCCCTAAACCCCTAAACACCCAAACCCCCAAACCCCTAAACCCCCAAACCCCCAAACCCCCAAATCCCCAAACCCTAAACCCTAACCTTGGCAGGTGCAACCAGCAGCAGGGGATGGGCCTTCTTCATGTGCTCGACGGCTTGGTTTTGAACCTCCGGGGTAGGTTGGGATGTTCCCCTTTATCATAACAGTCCTTAACAGGGATTGTGGTACCCCCCCCCCCCCCCCCCTAGTAAGGACTGTTAGACAAAGGGGGAAACCCTAAACCCTAAACCCTAAGGTTTGAGGACAAGGCCCTTGTTCGACTCTCCGGGGTTCGTTCTGCGCTCATGCTGGTGTGCCCAGGGAGCCCGATACCCCCTAATGCAAGAATACAGTACCAAAATCAGACCAAGGATCCTTATATAGT